TCACCATTATTGTTAATAAAAATTAAAATCAACGCAATAATTATAACGAACATTATAAACTATTTTATTTTAAGGAGCTATTGCATGCTATATTTTAATTTCCCTATTAATGTTAATGTTATTACTTAAATATCAGCAGGCACTAAAATAGTAATGATACGCACCACTCTGCAATTATTTCCTATCTATAGCCGACTCAGCTACTTGCATAATGAAATACGATTGTGAGTTTAACTTACCTATACAGAATACTGAAGAAGTGATTCAATTTCTTTTTTTTTATGGATGGAATTATGGAAATTATATAATATTAGACCACCCGTATTTTATATTAAGTTGTTCTCTCCAAATTCCATTAAGTATAGGTTTAATTTATTCCAAAAATGTAGCCTACGTTAGACATCTTAACTATCCAAGAAAAAGCAATACGAAGATAATGACACCTTCTATGTTAAATATTTGATATCATATTGACATTTAAACACTGATATCTGTATTTTTCGATACTTATAACCACCAACACAAAGGGTAATTGTTTTTTCCTTAAACAAATATACGTCAATTAGCTATTACAGAACAATTTAAATTGGTTTGAGGACTAAAAAAAATATAATAAGTTTCTAGTTTTTTATAGTATAATTTACCTTGTACATTATTATACTATAGTAAAATGATCTGGTATCTTCATTTTATTCTAAACATTTTTTTTAATGCATCGATAAATTAGAATAATATCTAGTTTTTATATTTTTAACTATTATAAGTCATGATAAAATTATAATATTATTTATTGTATTTTTATGTGGAACAATTCTTTACCGCATGTTTTGTTTTTTAATAATTCAATAAATAATCACATTATTGATTTCGATGGATTATTTTGTAATTTAAATAAATATAAAAATGACTTATTACCTAGTTATTAGTTATTACCTACTATCTTCTGAGAATTGAATATTAATGTATGTTGGGAATATTATGGTTTTTATTATTATTTAATTTATTGCAATTAGGTACTGCAGATTTTGGATAATGAATAAATTAAAAAAAATCTTTGAAATTTCAATTATTATCTTAATAAACATTCTAAAATAACTTATGTTACAAAATGGAATATAAGTAGAAACACGTAAAAACCATTATTCGTACCTAATTAATATTATTACTACATTGTTTATACTTTAGACGAAACTATATTATTATGTTATTCTACTAATTTTTTTATTAAATTTCAGTTGCTGTTTTGCTTTAAATTATATATTTTTTTTTATCTTAAACATAAAATATTTTCAATTTATTTATTTTTTATTAGATTATCATTATCAATTTTTTGGTTTGACTGAACAGTGCAATGAACACGTATTCTTAAACAAAAACAATAGATTGCAGAACACTACGTTTTCAATATTTGGCTAGGGGTATTTCAAATACAAAGTGAATATATTTTGTTATAGTTTTTTTTAATCAACTAGTATTTTATACAAAATTTTGTAGTTAATAGCCAGTTTTATTGTTAAAACATTAAAAACATGTGACACTGGCAGTTCGCACATGTGTTGTTTTCGAAACAAATAATCAAATAATATTGTATGTGAATAATGTAGGCACAATGGTACATACTGCCTATCCACATGTTTGTTTAGCTCTTCATATTATGACATTTATAATATTTTAAAATTTATCTTGTATATCTTTTTCTATACCAGTATCAATTTTTTTTAAACATAGCAAGAGTGTATTTTCAAAAATACACCATAATTTAATTTCATGTTAAAATTGTTTTGTAGATACATGGATATACTTGAAGTGTTCGATAGCAGGCACTTATTTAAGTACCTATACATCTGTACCTAATATTTATGAAATGTATAACTTTTTATCACAATGAAGACAAACAGTGGGTCATAATTTTCAAACTACGTGTGGTCGCGGTATAGCTATGAGACGTATATAATAAACATATCGTTTATTTATAATAGACAAATAATATTTCGGCAACAAAAATAACACTTAATAATAATTGTATAAAAATACTGGTTTTATTTAAACATTTGTTATCAAAATCAAATGTGTAAAATAAATGTTATAATTCATCATACATTTGTACAATTTTTAGTTAGGTACCCTTTATACTGTGAATTTCAGAGAATTTTTTTGTGGATAATATATTGAAAATGATGTGTAACATATAAATAAGAATAACTTTACTTTAAAGTTTAAATAAATATACAAACAATTTTAACATGTATAATATTATATCACACAAACATTGAACAATGAAAATGTATCAAATACAAAATCGACAATACATATAGGTACATAATATTATTATCTCAAAATGAACAATACACGGATAACTTACTAGACTTATGACTTATAAGTTATGAGTTTATGACGTATTGAACATAAATCATTTTTTTAATCTAAAAATTAACAAACCATATTATTTTATATTTTATTATTTGTTTTTAACTATAAGTGGACTGAGCATTAAAAAATTGATAACATAATAAAAATATAAAATACCTTTAATATTGAACATTGTAAATAGTATCTATTATAATTTACAACTTACAACGTTTTTGGTACTTTTTATACAATTTTACTGCAATCGTGAATATAATTTGATTTGAAATAATATTAAGTAAATTTTACTAGGTATAGCTTTGAAAAAAATATTAAATATTATATACTTATACTATAGGTACCTATGCATTTCATGATATTTATTTACATATAAATAATTTAAAATATAAAAAAATAACATTATCAAAGTTTAGAAACACTGGAATGTCTAAAATAGTATGACAATAAAATATTCTAAAGATTCTACGATATTATATCTTTGATTTTGTATTGAATATTTGAATCCAATGTTAAACATGACATATTTATACTATGTTTTATTTATTTATTATTTCTTAATGATTTCGAATAAAATATTCATGTGACCATGGTTATTAATATTGTTACAAAAAAAAAAAATAATAGTAATGTATCAATCAAATTAAAAGTGAAATATCTGTCGAAAAATTTAAAATTTTCATTTAAATGTAAAATTATAAAATGAAAAACAATTTAATTTTCCAAGCCTAAATAACCACAACATGCTTTAAATCACAAAAAAGAAAGATGATTACCTACTATCGTCTGTGGCAATGTTGGCATTATTTATGATTATCACGTTATTTGGGTAAAAATATATTACATATTACACGTTTGACAGGCGTGGGGAAGATAATTCATTATAAGTATTATATACACATTATTTATTCTAACAAGACAATTAAAAATATATAAATAGGAATCGTTGACAAGTCCGTGAACTATATAAAAAAAAAATGTTTTATCATTAAAGGTACCTATCGTAGTTTCCACCATAGATATATACAACAACTAGATAGCCGTATTCATACTACAGTTGTGACTAATGTTGAAGTCGGCAGCCATTTATAAATCAACCAATGTTTACATTTATTTTACATTTATTCATATACATAGGTATCTACCTACATATTTATTAAATATATATATTGTGATAATATTATTTCTTAAGCTTTGCCTGCTTTGTAAATGGCGGCCGACTTAAATGATAAGAAGGAGACGGCTATCTACTTGTTGTATAGATCCATGGTTTTCGCTGTGACGCTAACACTGACAATAAGTTAATCATCTAAAATGATATCAACACGAAGTAAAGTGTTCTGTGTATCGCAAATCGTAGAAAATATATAGGTAATAATGTAATATAATAAATTATAGTGTGGTTGTAGTGGATACAGACTATCGTAACATTGTCTAAACACTCTAAACCAATCGTTACAGACTACAATAATTATTATAGGTATGGGTAATTAATGACGTACAACTAAACGTACAAATGCACCTACAATAATTATAGGTACTTACCTACATTATGATAATTGTAACGTTTGCGACGCGTCTTTTAAAAACTAATGTTGAAATGCCAATATAGATATATGAATAGCACTTATTTACTTTAAATTGATATCATTCTAGATGAGTTACTAGTTGAGCACAATATTATGCGATACAATAACGAAAAGAGATCAGTATAGGTGGTGAACAATAATTGTTATAACTATTATAACATTACAATGGCAATCGAGCCTCGTTCACGCTATTACCGATAAACAAAGACAGTAGATACAGCTAATATAAATACTTAATTAAAATAATGATATTAGTTACGACAGCGAAATACGTACACCACAAAATATACAACCACGGCATATCGGAAAATCGATGCCTTTTAGATAATAAAATCACGTGGAAAATATCGATGCGTCCGAATTGCATGTCAAAGAAAATTATGTGTCCGAATTGCATGTCTTAAAATTTAAAAACGATGGCTTTATTATAATATACACATTATTTTATATATTATATTTTTTTTTCATTTTTTTATTGATCATCGTTCATTACTTTGACAGCTTTGTCATTAGTGTTACATGTATTTACATTTATGATATTTATTATTATGTACAGAATTACTACATTTTTTACTTAGTGATCATAATTGTATTTATATGTTTACCTTTAAAAAAAAATTTAAATATCTAACATTGTATTCTCATTAAATGTATCAACTATTATAATATATAGTTATACTGTGTCATAAATAATATTTTACTTAAATCTTAAAAAAAATTTCTATATAGTAGGTAGAACAATAGGGAACTGGAGGCATATAAAACTCTTAAAAAAATATCAATTTTGATTAATTTTTTTAATTTTAGAGAATCACACCCACAAACTGACAACTAACTGACTTGCAAAATATTTTTTTTTATTTGATATGTAAAAGTATCTATGTGACGCCGATTGGGCCACGACATCCAACTCGGACAGACCTTTAAGATGGCAAGTAACCCGGACAGACGCGGAGGTCCAAAATATAATATTGTATTCAAATCGAACGCTCGTGTAGGCTTGATCCATCCGGTAACGAACACAAACAGAGCTCATCAATATCCGCCTCACGTCTGTTCCCTAGACCTGGCCGTGTATTTGGCTCCCTGTCCCAGATCACCCATGTCGATGTCGAAAGTGGCATTAGTGGAGGGCTGGGCATGCGATTCGTCGGCCGCGTCCTCACCGCTCATCGTGCTCACCGACAGACATTCGCGGACTTTCTGCAGCACAAGTCCCACGCGCCGGTCGATGGCCGTCAAATGCGGTTCCCATAGCACGGGTGACAGCTGATCGTCGTTCATGGATTCCCTCATGTGTTCGCTGAGCTTTTTGACGTTGTGAAACCTGAAAACAACCACAACACATGTAATATGAGTGTACATTGCGTATGACCGTTATACGCGGGAGACTGTCAATTTATTTTTACATTTTTAATTAATATACAATTCATGATTATTACGACGGACGTTGCACGAACAGTGGATGTGAACTTTTTAAATCAAAGTCAACGGTAGGTAGGTGGCCCGTACAAAAAAAAATGTCCAGTTTATTTTCATGCCATGAATACCCAACGGATTCGTTGGTCATCGTTGGATTGGTCAGAAAATTTATTGGAACGTTGTTTCGTTTTTTTTTTTTTTTTTTTTAATACTCTGTCAAGCTTACACTAGTTTGTACTCCATTGATACGAGTCAAAAACGGTTTTATAAGATAAAGAAACTTCCAACTAATATTGGGACCAAACCAACAATGACCAACAAATGACCAACACATATTCTATTGGATGACTTCCAAAGTGAACTATTGACTTTTCTCTGCCAAATTCATATAACCATAAGGACGGTGGGCGTAACAGTATAGGATTCAGAGAACTTATAATAGGGGCTAGAGACTAGAGTATAGAGTACCACTACTCAATAGAAGTTGTAATGAAGACTGAAAAATATAATACTGCAACAGCTAAGTGGCGTATATAGCATGAATGATTCAAACTGTGTGTACACTTTTGTAAGGTCATAGAGATATTCTTTATTGAATGGGTGGACATACTCTTTTGCTTGGAATAGCAGACTCGCCATAGCAAAATAATACCTAGTATAATGTTTATGAAAATGCGATTAAGAGGATATCAGAGCACCATTTGTTTTCTCTCTCTGGCCCACGTAATATAGTACACAAAACTCATTTACGCAGAATCATTTTTTCTATGTTTTTAAGTAGGTAATCTTAAGAGGACGTAATACTGGTATTTGTTGTCTCCGTCTTACCAGTGCGTAACATAGCAAATTTACGCTCAGAATAACACTTGTAGCTTCGTCAATTTAAACATTAGAGTGAATTGACTATTATCAAAATTGATGGTAAAAACATTATCTGTGTTTGCACGTTGATTTTTTATGATAATTCAGTTTTTAAGGGAGTTATGAGCATAGTGAATTTACGGTATATTATATACGCATAACTTGCTAAAAAATTGAAATATAGTAAAAAACCAACATACAAACACAGATAATGTTCTTACCATCAATAGGTCAATTTACTGTAATGTTTAAACTAACGAAGTTACACGTGTTCTATTGAGCGTAAATTTGCTGTTACGCACTTGTAAGATGGAGACAACAAATTCCACTGTTACATCCTCTTAAAGTAAAATCAGTCATTCTGGGCAGGGGAAGGGGTAGTAAAAATATCCTAGGCAAATAATATAATATATATTCCTGGGAATCTAACCCCCTATAGAGATATAAATGTCCTAGGATATTCTTACCGAGGGTAAAATTATCCTAGAAAAATCTTACCCCCCCCCCCCCCCGGTAAAATTATCCGGTAGTAAGATTTGCCTGTTACACCCCCTCCATTTTATATATTTTCTAGATCCACACATGGGTGGGGTTTTTTGACTCTGAGTCAACATTGACCCAGGTCTCCGAAGACCGATTAATCGAGGGACCCCATGGAGAATGTAGCCAAGACTCTATTTAATCTAATCTTAAAAAAAATTCCCGAGCCTTTATTATATGTCGGTGCCCGTATCCGTATGCCTCTAAATCTTATTATTATCTGTTAAGTATAAATAATAATAACATAATATGTTTTATGGTGTGTATTATAATTTATGAACCATGAGTTCATTAATTCTAATTTATCATATTATAAACTACAAAGATAACAGATTATTGTTGAAATATAAAGATGTCTAATATTTCTGATAGGTACCTACATTCTCTATTGAAGCATTTGAAACTTAAATGGGTCCATAGAAAAGTTTAAGAGCAATCCACAAAAAAAGAATACATTGTTATTTGTGCGCCTATATAATAAAATATATTCACCTAATTTAAACACTATAACATATTCCTTTTATTTTCAGTGTTCCACTTCACCAACCCAATTTCATCTAAAACAGCTATTGGTTTCTCGCAGTTCGATTACCAGGAAAATGACCAGACGTTTAAACTTTTCACATATAAAAGTTTTTCTTCAAATTGACTTTTCAAACGATTATATTATCCGACGCACATGTGTATTTGCCTCGGATTGTTTAGGTATTACATTTAAGTTACAATCAGAAATACATTTTATATGTATAGGTACGAATAGACCAAATTTCCCTGTACCTAACTTTGTTGCATTGTTCTCAATAATATAATATATTATATTATGGTTTGGGTTATTTACGTCCTCACTACCATCCATTAATAATTGAACTCCCAACCTCTTTAATATAAGCTTTTTTTGTAATACTTATCAGTTTTTTTTTTTTTAAATAGAATTTTATGATTTTGATTTTATTATTCTGCATTCTGAATAGTTTATCAATTTGTATGCATACATGCGCGAATATTGAACTAATAGTTTATTTTATTTTAAAATCATTAAAGTTTATATAATCGGAGCAATGCAATATAATTTTATTGATTAACAATTCGACTTCACTTATTCTGTAAAATATATTTTAAATTCACACAAAGTTATATATAAAAGTTACAGGTGCATCAAAGTATTAAGATTATTATTTTGTTTCAGAATATATAAACAAAAATATGGATATACTAAAAAAAAAACCCAAAAAATCATGATGACAAAACGTCAAAACTATTAAAAACGTTAAATTGTACACAAATATGTCTGATGTAAGGATAAAGTACTTCTAATACTTCAATAGCATTACTTTTTATTTAATAATGCTGTTCACCTTATTATTAAATACAAAAAATAGGGTTATCTATTTATTGTTTATAAATACTATAGCTTAATAAGCAATCAAAAAAAACTGACGAAGGATAAAATAAAAACGAGAATTAACATTATCATACTATAATACAGAATACTGAATTATGAAAGTAGGTACGTATTGAATTAATTATAATTATTTACATCAGCTATAATAAGCCTATAAATGATTTAAAGTCACTATATTATTCTAGTCACTTAGTTAATAATTACGTAAACTATTTAAACCAATCGTGTTTCTTTTTAAATTAATTTGTATGAAAAAAAATACTCCCAACAAAACACTAGAATAATCATAATATTCTATATTGAATGGTCGGTGTTTGAACGCCGAACCGTGGCAACCGGAACGATAATTGAAAAAGTAATGTAATAGGTATACGCATTACGCAGTATAATGCACACGCCATAATATGTCATATTGTGTAGGTACTTTTATTGTGTGCGCCAGCTTTATCTAGAATTCCAGCTCAATATATTACATAGGTATTAATAGTATTATTATTATTATTTTTGATGTGTTCGGAGAATATTACCTACTATATTATTATTGCACAGGTACGTCTGTATTTTATCGTAGTCCGGCAATAAACGCGTTCCCTTTGAAGAGCATTTTGCGGCTAAAAGCCGTAACGGGACTTTGGTGCAAAAGTACACGGTTTCGAAGAATCGCACCGAAACGCGAGTGCATATTAGGTGGATATATTATACTTTAAATCGTGTCATGACGGCGGCGAGGTCGGATGCAACGGGCAAAACCACGGTGCATTGCGGTTTTTGTAATATTATGTTTGTTATACGGACCGAAATAATGGTTTACCGATGACGTACACAGCTCCCGGAATTATTTGTATATATATATATATATATTATAATAGTCCGTCACGATGATAACAAATAATTATGCTAAGTGCCCGTGACGTGTATACCTGCCTATGTGCAAACCCGGTGCATAATACTGTGGTCGGCTCGCAAGAGAGCTTTTCAGAACGTCGTCTGGCTTTTTGTCCCCGTTGAATATTTTATCGGGTCCACCTAGTGTTTGCGAATGTCCGTAATGGGTTTTCCCAACCTCTTAACGGCTGCCGTTTATTTAAGATTATCTCTATCGTATACACTATATATGTAATATATAAATAGGTATATATAGGTACGCGAGGCATATGGACCAATCTCCTTACCACCCTCCACCGTCCTTCGATAGCTGGACGGCATTGGCACGCCGCCGTTTATTCTCTCGGGCCCTTTTATCCGTCGACGTGCAGTTAAGTCCGAATATCCTCGTTCACAACGACTCTTCCACCCTTACCTCCTCTCCTACACCCTCGATACTCACCGGATGCCACTCGGCGGCAGTGGCGGTGGGCCGCCGGACATACGTGGCAGAAAACAAACACACTTTGGTGGTATTATATATATATATTTATTATGTAACATATATATACATATGGGTACAGTGGACGCTTTTCTCCTTACTCACCAACCAATCCTGTCATCACAACTTACGTCCTAGAACGTTCGTTTGCTAAGCCGTTTTAAATTCCTTACATTTTACGTTTTTATCAAAACGTCAATTAAGTCGACAATGTTTTCGTGTACTGAAGATAATATACAACATTGTAGTTCAGTACATAGACTTTACAATATATTAATATAATATTCTAATCTTGAATACGATAGACTATATTAAAGTACTAAAATAATTTAATATAGACGATCGTTATTAATGCACGATCTTCATCTTCATCTACTGTTTCTATTTTGCGAGAGCAACCTAACTCATTATTTTCAATGAGGGGGAGGGGGATATAAAGACCAATATGCTCGCAGTTTGATACAAGTACTAACAGAAGATCGTTATTAATTAAATGCCACACATTTTTTATGCCATTTGAATAAGATAGTATAATGTTTTCCTTCGTCTTTTTATATTATTTGTTTTACGTGACAAAGAATAGAAAAAAAATAATGGATAGATCTTTCTAACTGAAGTTCTATCTATGCCTGTACTGGCTGTACTGCCTAAAGGTATATGGTTACAGTTGTATACTATTACATACGTCCTCTCATATAATAATGATTAATTATAAGATTTGAACCACAACGTTTGCACTTTTATTTTAATCATGTACCTATTAATGAATGTATTACGAACAACCAATAGGTACCTCAGCAAAGTCTCCAGCGTAGACCTTCGTATATGACAACACTGTATGATTGGAGCCAAAATACTCATCTCGTCGTGGAACGCCTTGCCAAACGCCCGACCATGGTCGAGGTGAATAGGAAATGAGTCGTTTCCGAACAGGGTGAACGTTTCGTAATGATGACGGTCCATGTTGCCCATGAGAAAGTCAAACACGGACAAGTCCATAATGTCCAACATCCGTCGACCACTATTGTATGGCGGCAAGTTTCTGATTAGTTCACAGTAATTTGGATCTATACCGGATATAAACAAAATAAAATAACGATTTCGATGAGTGGATAAAGTATATTTACGCTAAACAACAAAACATAAGGAAAATAATTTGGGAAATTATAATGTCAATATTTTCGTTTATTATTTGCGTAACCTCGAGTACAATATTCATACTTGACGGTGCTATTTTACCCCATTTACTACTTTAACATAATATTTGTTTTAGCGATAATTTACAGTATCGAAGACAATATCTACCTATTTAAATAAAAAATCCTATTGATCACGATAGTAGATTCTTATATATTTATTTATATTAACCTTGTGTGAAAACTTATTTTAATTTCAAAATAACCACGTTAAATAGATTTCCTAGTATAGAATTACTGTAAATCCAATAATTGTACATATGTACATTAAAAATAATAATCTGAGGTTTGAATTATAAATACATTAAGGACAATTATAAAGTTCCGTACATTTGTTTATTAATTACTTTTGTTATCAACAATAAAATTTAATGTAGCGAATACGCCATAGGATAGGAAATTAAACGTTCAACATTTCAGTAAGTCAGAGCTATAAAATAATAATAATCATAATATGTAAGTGACATTATTATTATTTATATTTTATTTTATAACTTATTTAAAGGTTCTTAATTTAAGCAAGTTTTTGTCTATAATGGTGGGGCCTGGGATGACAATTATTCAGTTAATAAAGAAAAAGTTGCTAAAGACATTTTCGTTAAATAAAATAGTTTATATTTTAAACATAGGTAATCCATAACATTTTCATAAAACACATTAGTCATGCCACAATAAAGACGTAATTGAAATTTAAAATTAAATAGTTTTCCTCTAACCTAAGTAATTATGTATTAGCGAGTTATAATTGCATAATATTCTTATATTGAAAAAAAATTAAAATCTTTTAACTTAACACTTTAATATAATTTTTAATGAATTATATTTCTTAAAGCATAATAAAAGGAAGTATTAAACGTTTAATAATTGTAAAGATTTAAAATTAATATTTATAGTATTGTTCAGGCAAATATAATATTATGGTAAAATGTCTAATTGTTGATTTTAACTATTTAAAACAAAAGTACCTTCGTTATACAGACTGTATAATAATCAAAAACTCTATAGGTAGTAAGATGTTGGCGTTAAATAAATTATTTAATAATGTTTAATTGTTCCATAATTGTGTCTACATGCAAGTTAAATTATTTTGTCACTAAAATATTAGAAAAATGTTCTAAACTTTGTAAACACAACCACAGTTAACTTTTAATTTATAAGGCAACATAAATACAAATTTTTAAGGATAGTTTTTGAAAATATTTTTGTTGCAGGTTTTAAACATGTCATAATTTGTTTTACAGCATAAAGTGTTATCGTGATGCGTTGATCAAAATAAAAACCTTTTTTGAGTTTATAATCATAAACTATCTACTTAATATGGTACCTACTAAATATTTAATATGATAAATCACCCATAGTATAATAAATTCTTTATCACATGATTATATTATAATATATAAATAATATTATCAACTAGTTAACAAAAGAGCCACTTTCGGGTTATGGCCCGTGGGTCATTGATTTAAATGTACCCGAAAAATGATCTACTGTCAAACGATTTCCGTTGATAAATCTCCAACGAAAATATCAAAAATGAGATTTGTTACCTATAAACGGACGTTCTGCCTAGGTACTATAGGTTATACCTATATTATAATTTATAGATATGTTTTGTTTTTTATTTATATTTTAATTGTCTTCTAAACAGAAGTTTAAAAATATTTTTGTTCAACCATTGTGAATGTAATAAGTAGGTATTAAGTTATTATATTATGTAATAGCTGTATAACCAGATTTCACCCGGGGAAAAATATGAACAACATTTAATACAAAATACGGAGCTTATCCGTATACCTCAGTTCACGGATAAATCGGTGTCAATGTACCTCGCTATTTGTGAACTAATTCTACCAAGATGGCAAATCCACCTGGATTGGATAATGGATATAGCATTGACATATTTTTTAATGTGGTTTAAGCTAGTTACTACATTATCCTGGTGGTATCTCTAAGTACAACCACGGAACATTTTGTCAACATTTGTCGTGAAGTTTTTGAGTATATAAGCTACAAACATACATTTACTTATATATGTATAAAACGTAGAGCGACCAATACTCAAATGACATTTTTCTTTGACAGACAGAAATCGAATATTTTTTTGTTTACATAAATAATTGTTTGGTAACAGATTATCTATATTTATTATTATAATTTTTTTTTTTTACCTAAAAACTGTCAAGGGAGGGTGGTAGAGGGGATATCAAAGGACAAAGGCTAAAATTGTAGGTATACGAAAACATTCAGGGATTATCAAAAGTAACTGTGCAAATTTACAGAAAAATCGGTTCAGTAGTTTTACCGGTTAGCAGCTACAAACTAAAACCGCTTACTACCTACTTTAAATAGTTACTTGTATATATATTTCTACAATATCTAGATTTAATTTAATTTTCTTACAAAGAAATACTAGCTGAGAAAAACTCATGAAGAGGACCAGGGTATTAAAATAGTAAATATAATATAATATATTATAGTTATTGTATTAGTATATAGGTATACTACCTACCTATTTCATCTCAATAACGTAGAAGTAACATATTATTATATTTTATAATGATATGTACATACATTTAATACCATTTTTTTTACACTTTACTGAACTTTTTATTAATGTATTTAGTATAATACTAGAAACCTTTGATAATTAAAATAATAAATGTAACATATTATATATTTCCAAGTACTTATATACCTAATAAGTAATAGTAAATGATCAACTAAATAAACATTTATTTTTTGATAATTCCTTAAATTAATATATAATTTAATTAATAATTAATAAATTAAAAACATTAATAATAAAAAGGATACATTTTAATTTTAATTAATGATTATTAGTTTCGATCAACTTTCAAATGTTAGTATGTGGCAATCAAAAAGTTGTAAAAATACTCCATTAAAATTGAATATTTCCCGTGATAAAATAATAAAACAAAAATTTACAAGTTTTAATTGAAAATATTTGCAGGTGTATAATACTATAATCAGTGACGTATTCATCAAAAAATCTTTATGTTATAAATTGATATAATATTACATTCAACCTGTACCTACACTCACAGAGTACTTATACTAAATGTCAAACATATTTTATAAGTAAAAAAATTCACTTGTACAACATTTTAAAATATAATCTTTGGTATTAGACCATTAAAACAGCACACTTTCATACGTGGCTGATATATTTACCCCATCAATTAAATTTGTTCTCTTTATTTCGTTTTATCCAAACAAAAATATAGATATCCTTCAAATCCTTGCAGTCCTATTTGGTATTTTTTAAGATAATTGCTATCGGATTTTACCTGAATCATTGTATTTATCATGGATAATATTAAAATATATTATATTATATAATAGTTTAGGTTTTTGAATTCCAACGTTCGGCGTTAATGTAACACATAATATTTATATTATTTATAGATAACATCGTTCTGTGCACTGACCTGTTTCCCATTTAGCCTTCCTCCGCTTGTGGTAGCTGCGTCTCCAAGGATGCCTCCACGTCTTCCTCTCCAAAACATCTTGGGTTGGCAAGTACGCGGCGAATGAGCCCTCCAACATGTCGGGATTTCCACAAATGGCATGCGACGTGTCACAGTAATAGGAACACTGTCCGTGAAAGCAAACATTTTTGTCAGGTGACACGAAGAATGTCTTCAACAAATCGGACGCGGTCACCTGGGCCATAAGTTCAGACGTGATGTTCACCAATCGGCCACTGACCGGCATTGCTCTCCGAAACCCCAATATCCTGTGGACAGTATTATAATATTATTAAACAAACATTTTCTTACTGAACTCTTGTAAAAACGGCGATGTTCTGAAAAATTTACATTATATTATTATGCCTATAAAAAAGCGATAGGTTTAGTCGGTGTAAATTGGATCTTTGGTTTTATTTTGTATGCATCTATACTCTATATGTATATCTATAGTAATCGAGATCGTTATAAATTGGCTTTGAACTTAATAAAAATAAATTTTACAATTAAAAAAATAATTCAAGAAGTTGATCGATGTGGAGAGCGTTTTAAAATTTCTCATTAACACCCGGAACTTGTTTGCCCACAAAACATAATAAAATTGACCACTAGTTTGTGCAATAATATACTATGCATTCATACGTATGGTAGGTAATAGGTATGCAAAATATTATTTTCCTATAAGAATATTTTTATGAGAAAGTAATATTTGGCTTTTAGATGATAAACATAATTTCAACTTCACAAATATGTAAGAGAAATACTAAAATCAAAATGTATCTACCTACTTACTCACATTCTCAATCAAAAACTTAGTATGTATTAAATACATTAATGTTGATAGGCAATTACATAGGCATCTTAATAATGAGAATATAATATTAGATATCCATTATATTGTGTAATGTGTATATTCTGTGAGAAAATAAGATGTAATTTTAGTAAATGTCCGCAAACTAGGACAGCCTTTTTAACCACCCCCACCCTTCACCCACACACCTACATAGATTGAGATTCAGAATTCATATACCTCACTGGCCTATAATAAGCTAAGCTCGACGCATATAATATTATGTGTCGACGTGTACTGTGTAAATACTAAATTAAGTACTTTATTTGGAGTTCTGTCATTATTATTGTTAAATGTTGCAACTTGCGGTTAACGATTAGCAACAAAATAAAAATTCAGTAAGGATTAGATTTTAAATGATTCTTTATAATCGTAGAAACCACGAGATGGATTTGATCATTATTGATCAATCTATCAGCATCAGCATTGATGCATAAATTGTCATATAAAGATGTACCTATTTGTTCCTTTGTTAGCATTTCTATAAATGATAAAATGTATGGCAAAACCCAATGAAAAACTGTATTTATTATTAAAATATATAAACTATGTTTGTTTTATATATTTAAAACTTTTAAAACGTGTTCCTGAATTTCTAAAAAAAAAACCAAAATCCATTTGAAGATTATATTCCGATCTAGGGTGGATGATATATACAGAGTGATATGATGGTGGACGTATATAAAGTGAGATGACGAAAAATACTTAATGGTCCATGGAAAGGCATCGTTCTAAACATTATATTTAGAAAATTGGATTTGTATTACTTGATAAAATGTAAAAGTAATACAAATAATAATAATATACAATATTATATATACATATAACATTATCAATTATATGTTGGTACACATTGTTATTTGTATAGTGCGCCTTATCATTACATTTAACAGATATGTGCGTATTATGACGATTACTATGCATATTATGATGGCAGATTAATATCATTATGATAATGTCATAAGAAATCGCTTGAAAAAAAATAAGAGATTCATAATTTTCTAGATGAACCTATGCCGTCACTAAAAATAATTATAACTTTGTTTTTATGACCTACTGGAGTTAAATAAAGAAAAACAACAAAAAACAATACTAGGTACATAGGTATTCTAATAGTTATCAAATTTTATCAATTACCCCAGTTCTCGATACTCCGTTTTTGATAATTATCTGAAATTGGTAACAACCACAACATCATTTTTGACAGATCTCACTAAAATTATTTTTTATTCTTTTGCAGATAGCAAAAAAAAAAAAAGATATACCTATATAGTATGTACCTATACGTATATAATATAATATTATATATATAATACACATAGTTTATATCATTTTTTGGATCGAACCGCATTGTTTCACAATGTACAACACCGTGATGTAATGCACTGGATTGCACGGACCAAGGAATTGCTTCATTCACAATAACGTTTACGACCGACTATCATTCGGAACTAATGCGTATGATTTTCGTTTTAGCGATGGACTTACCTGTCGAGATGAAACGCAGCAATTTCGGCGTTGTGCCTTTCGTAGTCGGTGAAGTAAAAATGATTCGGCAGAGTCTGTTGTTCTCTTGTGAACCTGCGATCGTAAAAAAAAAAAATACAAAATATTTTCAAAAGTATCTACAACGCGATACTAATAGGTTAATAGGTATACATAGTGGGTACCTAATGTGTACAATGCATATATCGACTATGGAAATCCTTATGTGCATTATCTTAACAATAGCATCGTTTTATAAACCATTTTTTGATCAAATGTTAATATATTATGATCACCTACTATACATTGTTAACTGTATTACAAAACTATGACTTTTCACTTAATACATAACAATATTATATTAATATATGAATATTATATAATTCCGTAATAATCTGAAATTGTAAAGCGATTGCCACAAAATGTGCGTGTTAGTATAATCGTACAATAACCAATATGACGCGAAGGTGAACTCAATGGACTAAATCGGTTAGAGAATTTTAAAATGCGTGTAAATAATATACTAAAAATTACAGCCCGAGTACCTACATAGAAAGAGAGTGGATGTTTTTTGGCTGCCGTCTCGCTCTGATCACCTTGGTGCAACTGATATGTTGCATTTTGTTATAAGGTATAAACTAACAATTATAAGCTATCGGAAAAGGATTCTAAGCATTTTTAATGTATTAAAAAATACCATAATATAAGCATAGGTACATTATATTAAATTTAGAAAAAGTCCAACTTTGGCTACATAGTAGTTTTTATCATTACGAAATAATACGCAATACAATTACAATGAAAATGATGAATGATAAACAAATAAATATAATATTCATATTATTATACTATATAAATAATTTTTGTCAGTTCTAACAAAAAGTCTACATTTTAACTACTTATTTAAAATTGAATGATGATTTAGTTTATTTTTTATAACCATAATTATTATCGTTTCTGATAATATCAATGAAGAAATCTAAATAATGCTTATAATATATAATATTATACACGTAGACAGGTAGGTACATAAAAACCAACATCTATTCATAAACAGTATACGTTGTACATTATTCAGTATTCTATCATAAATATTTCTTCAAACAGTACCTACATGTTTTATGTTGTACGTGCTTCCTGTTTTTTATTTGTCCAAAATTATCGGCAAATTGCTAATTTTTATTTCTCTGCAATAGTACAATATAATATGTTACGATTACTGAGTCAATAAATGCCGATTCATTGCAATAATTTCGAATAACTTTAGTAGCAGTTTAAATAAATATTTAATAAAAATGTACTCTAATTATATTAGATTATTAATTATTAATTATTTAGTTTTAAATGTTTTCATAACTATGAATTTAAATCGAACTTCAAATTATATTATTGTCTATTGTTTTTATTTATTTATTTATTTAGACATTTTTCATTTTATTCAAATAAAAAAATGTTTTCACAATTTTTAGTAAATATAATATGCAGCTATAATACAGTATTATAGTGGATAAAACGGATTTATGAAACGCAGACCGTCGAAGATTCACTGAAAAAAATGTCAACGTCGCAAAAACAAGTTTCAAATTAGAATTTGTTAGTAATTTACCAATTATTTCAACTTAAAAAAATACCTGACGTAACTAATAAGCAATAGAACATGCTTTTAAAACATCAACATGTCCGAGTCAGTTGGAAATAATAATTACGAAGAGTCCATTTACATACATTAAATCCTAATGTTCAATCAACGGCTACTTTGTTTGATTTTAATTTTATATTATATTTCAATTAAATACTTAAAGGTCATTTATATGTAAATAAATTAGTAATACAAAACACCACCCTCGTAAAAATGTTGAAAAAATACTTTAATAATTTACCTCATCGGTTTCATAAGTGCTTTGTCTCCGTTTGAATACTCTATAACAAGCTTGAGTTGTGTGCCTCCTTCTTTTTGGGCTAAAATATAATATTCAATATTAGCAAACTAAATGTATTATTTTAGCAATAAACAGGTTAATCTGAAAAACTCACCTACGCTTAAGATACGCGCACTGGACATGTTTTTTAAAATTAATGGCACATACGTGTCGTTCTTAGGATACATTTCTCTTTTTGATATTCTTGAGTGGAATATGGTTAATGCTGTCGTGTTTGGCCTAAAAAAAATTGATATTTAAGATATTAAACACATTTAATTTTAGTAAAGTACATAATATAATAATGATATAATATATACACGTATAGGTATGTGTATAAATCATAAATAATACATCCAAATGCGTATAAGTGTTTAATATTATTTACACAATTTAACTTTTCTGTACTCCTTTATTAAAAAGGACATTTCAAAAGGTATACGAGTCTCCTTATAACGGTTTCGAATGTAAAATTAAATTTAAAAGTAATTAATGGAAACTCTTGGTGGAGATTTCTTCGCGGTTGATTAAAGTGAAAAACGACCCAATTATGCGCCATGTTTTCAGTAATACAGTAATAATAATAATAATAATAATAATAATAATGAAATAAAACCATCGGGTTTTATCGCGTGAGAATAAAAATCAAAGATATATGCGCTCTTTTCCTCCTACCTATGCAAGGACTTAATGAGAATTTTCCCATTTTACTTTTTAATAGAAAATATTATTTCTCTGGTCTTAAAAACATTGCGAGACCTCTGAATTCTTGATAAATCAAAAAGATTTAACTGAACACAGTATTTTTTTTAAACCACCTTACAATAAATCTAGTATGCCTGCAGCTTAGAGTTTAAACTATAACATGAAATATTTTACTACAGCAAACACTTAATAAAGTTATTAGTTATTAATTAATATTGTATAACAATATTACACGTCACAATATTACAATAAAACACGATTACAATCTTAAATGCTTGCGATGCTATTCAAACAATCATTCGTCTTCGACAAACACAACAAATAAGTTTTCATTCGTTTACAATTTTCATTTAAAAAGTATTTTCGTTCTTGTGGATTTTTTTTAATTTGCTTTTTATTATGTCGTTTTCATTTTTTACCAATGCATTTGAGAATTTAAGTATTTTTAACTCATAAATGTTGATATTCTTCAATTGTTATCTTTATGTCAAAACGCATAGTTTTACAAGAATGAGTATACAATAGAGTGTAAAATTTATCACTCGACAAAATATATATGGCAAAAAATATTTTTTTAAATCGATTTAGAAACAACAAATTTAAAAAAAAGTATTATCATTAGCTTATTTCATAAATACTTTGATACGATAAATTATTTTTTTTGTTGTGCTCTAGTTAAAAATGTTGTACATAATTTACTTTAAGTGTTAAAATAAATTGTCATAGGTATTTTTGCTGAGGTTTACCAATAATCTTTTTAAAAATTAGAATAAAAGTTTCATAATCCAACTACATTAGTGACTTAATAGTAAATAAGGTAAATTTAATATCATTTGAAATACATTTTTCTATAAAAATCCTTATAGTTGTGAATTTTTTAGTTGACAGGTTTTATCTTAAATCTGACATATTGAAGATAAATTGAAAAATATGAAGTAAGCACTCAGCAAATCATAATATTAAACTTATCAAATCTGAAAAAAACTTGTGTTCAAATTTAATATTACATTTTGACACAAATACACATTAATACCAAGTACAAAAAAATAATTATTTCAAAATCAATATTTTTTAATCATAAAGAACACGGTATTCTAATCAACAAATATTTAAATCATACTCGATACATTAATAATTAGGTATACTGAGAATCATAAATAATAGCTATATTGGAACTATTCTCAGTATTAAATGTGGGAAAGTTGAATGTGAAAAAGTTCAAACGTCAAAAAGTGTTAATTTATACAACTAAAATTACCTTTTTTTGTATTTTCGTGTATTTTTAAACATTTGAGTGAAAAATGTTTTAAATTGTAGAATATGTTGATGTATTATTTTAATCATTGATCACGTTTGTTATATGGTTTAAATTTAAATAGCAAAGCTAAACGTTATTAAATATATGACAATGACGTTGTACTAAATGCACCTATACTATTATAAAGATTTATAATATTAAACATAATAACTTTAAAAGCCTTGGAGTTTAAATTAAATAAATATTGTAACAGGGTTTCTATCATACTATGGTTTTGGAACCTAAGTCATTGTTATATTGTTTAATTTATGAATAATTTATTACATTTTATAAAATACGTAAATATCTATAACCAATATTATAATAAATTGTTTTGAACTTTGTAGTTAAATTATTATATTATAATAGTCATAGATTAAATTATCGTACAATAGTTAATTCATAATCAGTGTTCTACATTATTCTGGTTCAATTAAATGTATTAATAATAAAGTTTAAATATTGTAGATACAATAACAGCAATGTCAAAAATAATGAAATAATTCACAATAGTAGACAATATTTTTTTCTGTATGTACAGAGTGGTCCATTTAATGTTAGACAATCATTATTTCGATATTTTATAGGTACCTTAATACCTACCTAATATTAACGTTTTTGGAAATATTTCTTTTACATAATTTTAAGTCGAAAAAACTAGATTTACTACATTATCGTTATATTTTTTTTAATGACAACTTTCATTTTAATTACTTTATTCTAACGCAGAAAATTTTTGTAGTTCTTTGATGAATAAAAATCGAAGTGGTTTTTACGTAGTCTTAATGAGACTTAATAAAGTTTAGATAAGCGGTATTGAGTATCACGCAAAATAATAGTCCATTACTCTGCTCATTTAAACTTTAAATAGATACTTTTAGCTAATAAACTACTATTGTCCGAAATATAATATTCACATAGAGAATATAGATATCGAAATACATTGATTAATATTCTGCTTAGGCATATGAAATTAAGAATATATGTTGCTATTCAAAAGATTAAAACACTTAAAAACGATAACCATAACAAATCGTAATAAAATATGATTTTTTAAAGCATGGAAATTATGTAAAAGCAATATTTTTCAAAGTGTTACAGTTTTTTTGTAATAACGGGTGCTTTCCGTTTAAGTATCACTCCGTATATATAGTATATACCATATTATACTCATTTATCCTCTGAAAATCAAAACCAACACACGAACTCAGTTTATTGTTTACTATTTTTCCAACTATGTTTTTATAGTAATTTTTTTCAATTATAACTTTCACAGTTTCACTTATAGTAAATTAACAGAAGGTCCTAAATCCTAACTGTCCATGATTGTCGAAGAATTTTTCGATTAAATATACAGGCATGTAACCGAGACATTACGAAGACTAGTCGAAATCAAGACAGGTAGGTACAATTAATAATACAGTGATAACGTCTTACACGGCATACTTCAAAATATGATTCTGATACAAAATAGTAGTAAGAAACAATACTGTTGTAAAATATATCTTATTTTCATATTATGCAGTGTAAGTGTGAATAATTATTTAAAACGTATAATTAATTATCTAATTATTTCTCAGAATCAAAATATAATAGATGTATACGAACGTCGTATCGTGTTTTACTTTGACATTCTACATGGACGCATAAATTAAATACCAGGGTGGTTGGCCAACAAGAAGAGCACCGTCGTGAGCCGCATCGATAAGTAGATATGTACCTAACGCGAGCGAGAACCGACAAAATAATGGTTTAACATAAGTTCCGTTTCCGCTGCAGTCATGGTTGGATGCGTTTATCTCTGTTCTATACCGTGGTACACCTATAATTTGTGTTTACTGTTTTTTGAAATCGCCGATAAAATAATATGATCTTCGCTGTGTTGTGTTTGGAGCACCGTTAAAGTGTTTTACTTAAATCATTTTTGTATTCCACATGATGATAGTATTATCATCACTATTTACCAATTTACCATCCTAGGTCGAAACCGCGAAAAGTAGATCCAACATGACATGTATAGTAACAATTCCAAAATTTAAGATTTCCATAATATATCAGTATTGACTTTACATGCTTCATGTATTCGTATCAAGTGTGGAGAAACTGCAGTCAAAAGCAATAACGTAAATGGCCATAATAACGAACGTTTAGCATTATAATATTATTATAACAACTCAATTTCTCCAAATAAAAATAAATAAATCAGACTTAAGTTCTAAAATGTTGAGTTGGATTCAAAAATATAATAGATATGGTTAATAATAGATTATCTATGGCTGTTACGAATGGTATTCAAAAAGTCATATCAGTTGTAATTCTTCAGATTACAATATTTTATCGATCATAAAAAATGTGAAAAATCGTTACTGTTTATAAAAAATTATTTCTGTTTATATTGATCACTTTTCCTATCATAACCTGTTCTTTCCATGTGATGTTGAAAACTACGAGGGAAGCACAAGAATTTAATAGGTACTTAAAAATAAATTGTTCACGATTTCCCAATGCAATATTGTATTATTCTATTGGTATAAATGTCTAATACATACCATCCTATTTATTATCATCATTATACACTGCCATACTACGCGTGCAATACGCCCACGCTATACAAAGGTACTACGAGTGATGTGTATTTTACGATCGCTTTGTGACTTAGATAATATGATTTTATTGAGGCACACTACTGCGTTTCTTTCAAATTTAAATATTTTGTTTATGAACTTGATGAAATTAAAGATGGACATCCGCGAATAGGTGAGTCCTGTATTATTGTATTATACAGGACAGTGCTGCATTTGGTGCAATAAACGACATTTGCCGATATCTTCACCTTTTAGCCGTCCGTTTCAAGCATGGGTATAGTTCCAAAAACACCGATACAGCCGATAAATCTTCAATCGCTGGAGTGGAGCAGTGTCAAAGAGATAACGCCCCCTTTCCACCCCACCATAGACAATATAGATATCGTGGACGGAGGCGATATAAATTACATAAACGTCGTTTCGTATTCAACAGGGACGGTGCCGGTCATTAATATTCCATATATGTGCGGTTTTTTCCTCTATCTATATATATATATATATATAACGTACTTATACCTTATTTTTTTTTTTGTTTTTCGTCGTTGTTATTTTACCACGATTTTACGTAGATATATTATTATGTATATAAACGCGCGTAGGTGCACGCAATGATATTGAAACGACTCGATGGTACGGCAATAAAATAAAACAAA